GAGCACACGGATGCGGCAAAGGCGATCAGCTCCCTGGTCAGCGGTTTCTATCCTCAACTCCAAAGCGTGATTCAAAAGGGATCTCGCGAAAGAACGGTTCACCCAGCTAGCTCTTTTTTTGCCCTCCACGCACCTTTTTGCGACCATCCGCACGGTCCCATTGCAACGGGGGCTCCGGCGGCGCGGTGCTCACACACACACACACACAACGCCAGGCGGGAGGCAAGGGGAGGCGGCGGAGTCAGCGAGGACGTCGCTCAGCGAAGGTGGCTCATTGGAGAATGGCAAGGATAGCAAGCTGGCAGAGAAGGACCTAGCTGCGGCAACCGACAACAACCCCGACCATCGCCCAACGAAGGCAGCGATTGTTGCTGCACGCTGCAGAAGGAGGGCAGTGCGTATTCGTGCTCGAGCCAACCACCGGACGAAGTTAGCAGCTTCAGCACTCCAGCATCCGCCAACCTCGATGCCTCTTTGGCACGGGTCGGGATGTCAATTTACTTGTTACCGGTTCTTAAAAGGTCAGCCGAGAGTTTGCAGTGAAGCGTGCCTTGACGAACAACCTCATCGTTGTCAACACTGCGAGCGAAGAGTGTACCAGTGTACCAACGATTGCGGTATCGATGAGCCCCTTCGCCGGCCCGCTGTGCCTTCGTGCAGCATGCTGCTTTAATCTAAAGACGTTCTTGCCTCCGCTTCCCATACACGACACCGGCATCCAACACCGGTGTTTGTCGGGGACTTCCGGTCACGCTCCCTTCCAATGTGCGGTCGCCACCCGAGCTGGACATCAGCAGCAACGGAGAAGGCATGTCCGCGTTGGCAGCGCTGTCGCGGTCTGGTCTCACTGTAGCACGACTGCAGATTGTAGTCCCGGATAGCACCGGGTATGCGCCAGTATGCGTGAGTAATTATGCGGGTATACGCGGGTATGCGCGAGTATGCGCGAGTATGCATGAGTATGCGCGAGTATGCACGAGCATGCGCGAGTATGCGCGAGTATGCGCGAGTATGTGCGAGCACGGGTATGCGCGAGTATGCATGAGTATGCGCGAGTATGCGCGGTTGTGCGTGGGTATGCGGGTTTATGCGCGAGCATATGCGCGGGTATCGGCGAGTATACGCGAGCGTGCATTGTGGTGGGAAAATGCGACTGCTGGCGGGGGGTTTGGGCAGCGCCAGGTATGCGCGAGTATGCACGAGTATGCATGGTGTAGGTGTGCACGAATATGTCCGAGTATGCGCAGGTATGCGCGAGTATGTGTGGATATGTTCGGGTATGCGCGGGTATGTGCGAGTATGCGCGAGTATGCGGGCGTGGTATGTGCGAGTACACGCAAGTGTATTAACAATGTTATGTAGTATATGAGAAAACGAATATTACATACGGTATAATGCATATTATAAATTGTATATCAGATTTTACACACTATATGTTACATACTGGTGAATCGTATATCATATACCATATAAGTTGTATGTTTTACAGTAGTGAATCCATGGTCTGTGTTTTGTGATAGCTGCTATGCATTGTAATGCCACTCCGGTACTCGAGCATACTGGAGCATACTCGAGCGTACTCGGGCATACTCGAGCATACTCGAGCATACTCGAGCGTACTCGAGCGTATGCGCGAGTACTCGGAGTGCAGTCGCCCATCGCGGCCGCAATGGTCTTATTCACAAATCGAACTCATTCTGTGTGACCTGCACACTCCGACCGAAACATGGAACAATGACTCTACTGGCGGGGGCATGATGATCGTTGCGTTCATTGCGCTGCGACCTGTTTAGTGCGACCGCCGAATGCGAGCTGCAGCCAGTAATTAGCCGCTACAGAGGCTCATAGCATGCAGCTCGCCTCCGGTATGTCGAGGGCGGAGTTTGCCAGGATTTCACTGAGGGGGACAGCCGCGAAAGAGGGCACAAGGCACGCCACCGAATGACGAGCTCTGCGAGAGCTGATGACGGACCAGACTCTGCTCCGCGAGCCTCCCATCTTCTGGTAACATGGCTCCCCCCGCTCGCACATCTATGCAGGGTGCGTAAAAAAGTACGTCTGTGTTCAACGGATGGAAGGCGGCCCGCTTGGCAGATGCATGTTCTGCAACAGGGATGTTCCTTGTAGCAACTTGGGCGGAACAAGTGCTCACCGAAGGTGTGATTCTGACTCTGACTCCGGGAAACCTGCGTGGCGCAGGCATGGAATGTTTTGCAGAAGCATCAGAGACGGACTGATCAAAACTTGGCACCATCTGCCAACGCATTAGCTAGCAGATATGTAAGGACGCTGCTTCACACATTTGTATCCTGCCTGCAAACGACAACTTGCTATTAGGTTTGGCGTCACATGGTCACACCGCAGCAGCGGCCATGAAGGTGACCCAGGCAGATCGATGACGTTGACAAGCTCGCTGCATGTGCGACCCGTAGAATCTAAAGAAAGAAGTACCGTGTGGGCGATGGCACTGCATCAACGGGGACAGCATGGAACAGCGAAGACATGAGCGAGTGTGAGTCAGACGTAATCCCATATGCACAAAGCTCTCGGGTTCGGGTCTTGCGTCGGTGGGACAGTCTTTCTCCATAAGACGTCGCACTTCGTCGTTTCGGCCAGTCGACAGCCCCCTCGCAAATACTGTTTGCCCCCTCGGGGGGAGAGTGTGTGATGGTGTTACGTGGTTTGCATGGCTGCTTCTCTTTTGTACGACATAAATTATGTAATCCCGGCGCTCGGTGCTTGTGGTAACCGTTGTGCAAGAAAGTAAGGAGTGCCTCATGAGAAGACTTTCAACTGTCGGCCCTGAAGCAACTGGTCGAACTTCCGGTCCGAAGATACATTCTGCATGTTTCTGTTGCTTCACTTCAGGGCCAAGCACCCCGTCCGTTACATGATGGGCACTGTCATGGAGGCTGAGGTGGACCTGCGCCCCATGAAGCCCTGAGGTCAACTTAGGAGCCTGTCCACTTCACAACCCCTGGATCAACATCCTGGCGCTTCTTTTCGCCGCGCCCGACTCCGGATCATCTGTTCAGCGGCAGTACAAGTGTGGTCAGCATCCTTTCTACCGGCGCATACCATGGCCCTAACTCCCTGTACCCACCGTATCCACCACGAAGCTTCTAACACCTGCATGGCACTGCATGGCTGCAGAGGACGGAGCCTGATGATTTTTGAGGGGGTTGATGGCCAAGTTATCGTCTGGAACCTTTACAATGTACAGACCAGGACAATGTATATCTAGTATCCAGCCAAGTTATTTGGACCACTGCCCGGCTCCTTTCGAATTTCGATCTGCTGGCCACTGTTCGGACCGCAGTGCCACTTCGAGTGGACTACGGGGAAGGTCTAAAGCTCACTCATCTCCTTTGCAGCCCTTCTCTGCCGCGTACCTGACGCTAAGCCCCGCAGTAGGGTTCTGCAGAGAGCCTGAGCCCTTATAACGTAACACTGCGAAGTATCGGGAGACCAAGTTGAAGCTCGAACAGCGCATGGGGAAGCTTCCCAAATGCAAAACCTTTAACCCCAGCCCGATGAGAGTTTCAGACATTAGGGGGGCCAAAACACTGAACCCTGGACAATTGCAGCAGCATCCTGAAGATAAGGAGGCCCGAAACAAGCCCCTTCATTCTCAGATCAAGCCCAATTCAATCAGACCCAGATTTTGAGTGATCTTCGGTTTTTCCGTGGCACATGTAGTGCAGCTTGTTGACATCCTCCCCTCCAATGACCTGCCAACACGCTTGAGCATAACATGAAACTTCAGGTGGGCTGAAGCAGCAGACTGCGGCGATTCAAAAAAGGACCGCTTAACTTTTATATGGTGTCCGATTGCAGGCACCAGAGTCTACAAAGGCAAGCAAACGGCTCTCAGAAAGTACCCTCCGTCGAGGCCTCATTTACAGCTTTACGAGAGTTTCCAGGTAAATGGGACAAGGCTATGGGAGCCACTCCTAATCCGGGCTGAAGCCTTGTGCCCTGCAGTTTCACAACAACATGGAGACTGGAGACGCAAACTATAAACCCAAGCCGTCGAAGTGGGATACGAGAAGTGTCTCAACCGAGAGATATGGGACTTTCCGAAAATTAGGGTACTATATTGGGGTCCCCTATTTTCGGAAACCCCCATATTGCAGTTGCGTCGTCAACCACTACGAGTATCTGAGGTCAGGCACGAACGGTGGGGTGTCTTGGAACGTCCGCAACCTAAAGGTCCCCTAGGCTCCTACTCTTTAGGATCTGCATGTAGGGTTTTAGGGCTTCAGGGTTTAGGGTTTAGGGTTTTAGGGTTTAGGGTTGGGTCCCTTTGTTCTCTGAAGCTTCCAGATTCGAGAGACCAGGGCCGCCCGTGCCTTCGTCCAGCCCTTCTCGTGGACCTCTGGCGCATGCTTAAGAAGGTCTGGTGAGTCTGCTGACTTTGCTGGGTGGCTTGAGGTGTAGGGTCTTGTAATGTAGGGTTTAGGGTTTGAAGTTTGGGGCAGTTTGGGCTTGATTGCTGGGGTCTCGTGCCCACGGAATGTCCCTGCACCCTAAACCACAACACCCTGAAACCCTGAAACCTAAACCCAAGCCGAGGCCTGCACTTGCAGGGATCAGCGTTCTCGAAGTTATACATGTTCAGAGACGTCGGATTTCTGTAAGGGCTCAATATATAATATATACTAATGAACAATATAATGTAATAATATATACTATAATATATTATATACGACAATATATTATAATATAATATGTTGCTGGCTTCGGCTTCACGCTTCTCGGGACTTTGAGCTTCGACTTCCCGTGAGAATCTCCGCTGAAGGCTCCCATCTCCCGAAGTCATCGGGAGCCTTGAGAAAGCCCTAAATGGTATATGATTACTATCACTAACATTAGTCATATTACTATCACTGAGACTATCACCTATCACCAACATTAGTCATATTACTATGTTTACTTTTCGTATCATCATTCCTACTCTTAGAGTATATGGGCCCGAACTTCGCTGTGGGGGTCCCGGCGTGGTAGACGCGCACCACGCCGCCGGAGGCCCCGTCGCGGTGCGTTGCGTGGTAGATCGATCGCCTACCAAGCTCCACGGCCTGTCCAGGGAATCACCCAAGCGGTTTAGGGTTTAGGGCTTTAGGGTTTTGGGCTTAGGGCTTTAGGGCTT